GTGCAAAACTCACATCCAAAAACTCACCGACTAAAATTCAGTGAGTTTTTGAGTTAAAACTCATTCTCACACATGCTGAATCGCAAAATGAGGAAGTGTACCATGATACAAAAAAGAAGGTAGTTTCTNTACCCATATTGAACAAATACACCCAAGGTTACCCAGGTCCACGTTTTGGTCTATATCTCGAGACCCTAGTTATTTTTTAAAAATTTTCTTTGCTACAAACCTCACGGAGCCCGAGCCCTTTCCAACGAATGTGGGAATCGGTTCGGCAGTTCTTGAGTTATAAGATTACCAAGGAAATGTAACTTCTTTTTATATATATAGATTAAAGAAGACTTCATTGTAATTGTTCTTTTTATTTTATAATAAAAACCACGCGCGCATTATTTTGTTATTTTTTCGTTTTCTTATTTTGAATGCAATGTTGCGATTTAAAAATCGAATTCTAAAGAATGTTCTTCCCCAATAAAAAAAAAACCTTTTTATATTTTGGCTCAAATTTAATTTTAAATTTCTCATCAGATTTTGAAAAAAAATTAGGCTTTGTGATTACCGTATTGCCATCAACTTTCACAAATTTTTAAATTAAAATGCAAATCCGCGTATGTGAGGTTGCATAAATTATTTTCTAGAGAGTAGAAATGCTCGTATTTAAAAATGGTTCTCTTTTTTACAAAGAAATCGCATTTCAGGACGAATGAATAAGGCTTGAGCCAAGAGCTTGTGTGCGAAAATCCAATTTTTGGCAAAAAATTGCAGTTACGCGGTTTTGCACAACGACGATACGCGGTTTTGTACTTTAAACGACAATACACTTTTCCTGCGTTCTGAAACCTAATCGTCAACCCGGCATAATTTTCAAGTCCATAAAATAAAATCTTCTGCTTAAAAAAAAAATATTTCTTCTAGTGATCAGATAGCATGAATTTGATGAAATGTCATAATTTTATTAAATGTCAAATGGTTAACAACAACAACGAATGTCATTAAATGAAATTACCTTCTTTTTTGTATCATGAAGTGTACATAATTTTGACAGCTAAAACTCATTCTCACTCTTCCTGAATCGCAAAATGAAGAGTACACACAATTTTACACTTGAAAACTCACAGTTACAGAATAGAACCCAAGCCCTTTAGAACTTAAGGCTGAATTTGTTTTACTTTTCTACGACTCTTCAAAAAAGCAGCAGCATCTCCTAACAGTAAAATGTATATCTAAAGAACCTTTTGAATAAAGAGAATAATCAAAATCGGGTGGGATCAAAAAACGTTAATATGTTCTTTGGTGGGATTTGAAGAGTAGACAGCTTTTTTGACAAAAAAATATTTTTCCCACCGTGCGCCAGTTGATAATACTGTGGCGAATACTGCGGCAACACAAAGCGAACAACGAGAAATAGGCAGAATG